AACCTCCCGGCCGGCAGCGCCCTAACTACGCCTGGCGAAAGCTCCAAGCCACGCGTGAACACGAGATTATTCTTACTCGGCCGAAAATTACTGGGGAACAAAGTTAGGCTCGCAGATTAAATCTGCGTGCGTGCGAGCGAGCGAGCGAGCGAGCGCGACCGCGGTCGGTTACAATCAGCACGCCCGTGTGTACCGGGGACCTCCTTGATACATGGGGAATGCTACGGTGCTCCTTTTCGCGACGCCTTTCGGGTAACTGTGATTAGCAGCGTTGTTGAGCTCTGAGATGAAGGTGAGGGATTTGGAGAGGATTGGTTGATGCGAGTTTTTAGGGGATGGTTGACTCTAGTCGAGAGCGACTGTCGTGTAACACTTGATTTCTTGTAGTGAATTATTAGATTTGATGTTTGATGTTGCACTTCGTTAGTCTGAGGGATATGGAAATAAAATAGCGTTGGTCTACGATGGGAAATGCTACGGTGTTCCTTTTCGCGACGCCTTTCGTTTTGTAGTGATTAGCAGCGTTATCGAATTCTGAGATTGTTGGGGTTGGAGAGGATTGGTTGATGCGAGTTTTTAGGCGATGGTTGACTCTAGTCGAGAGCGACTGTCGTGTAACACTTGATTTCTTGTAGTGAATTATTGGATTTGATGTTTGATGTTGTACTTCGTCAGTCTGAGGGATATGGAAATAGAATAGCGTTGGTCTACGATGGGAAATGCTACGGTGTTCTAGGTTCTCGCGACGCCTCTAGTTTTGTAGTGATTAGCAGCGTTGTTGAATTCTGAGATCAAGGTGGAGGATTCGGAGATTGTTGGGATTGGAGAGGATTGGTATGATGTGAATTTTAGGTGATAGTTGCTGAGACTATAAAGTTTGATATTTAACCCCTTGCTTACAATGACTCGGGACGAAGATTTCTAGACTAATTTAAGAACAATGTTCATTACTAAAACAATGATCAAAGCTAACTATTTCGCAGTTATCATGTATTATCTTCAAATGAAACTTCCATTAGAAGTGGAAAATTTTGTTGCATTTCTTTGAATTGTCGATAGTAAAGTGTTACACGAGCTTAGCAGCGTAAATACGTGTAATGCATCAGTTTGAGAAATATTGAAATGAAACAGCATTGTTCTCCAATACGCGTGTGATTTCTCTTCGAGTTTCACGAAACATCATCTTTATCTCATTACGAATTGTTAAAATATTTCTAGATTTTCTCGGAATAAATCTTCCGAGTGCAAAGGGTCAATTATTTCTAAAGAACCGTCTACGCCTTTGTAATAATTGTAAAAGAAATTATAAATTGGTCATTTCGACCCACCCTGTACTCCTAGTGTTAACAAAGTAGTAAAAGATTCTTAGTAAACATGGTTGTTACAACCCGATAACAGTCATACAATAGGATAACAATGGCACATTGACCTATGACTTTGAGATTACTCTCCGTAAAATTAGCTTCGCGTGTACAATGTCCAGAATATTTCAAGACGAATTCCATTTACCCAGTCACACCCACGAAATACCCATACAGTCCACCATAAAAACCCAAATTTCCTTCGAAAGACCGCGACGCGTTTTCCGCATTAATGCTTACACTAATGGCAGGGGCGGAGCATAAGTTCCTCCGCGGAATAATATCTGCGGCGCCATAAATCATCCCGCACGGGAACTAACGAGAACCGTTGGATGTAAAAATCACGGGGGAGCGGGGATCGCGCACAAATCTTTATCGCAAGAAACCGCCCGCTCGCGAAAAAGGAGAGGAGCGTTCGCCAAAGTCACGCTCCCGAAAGTTCGTTGCTCCGTAAGTACATGTTGTCTCCGCACATTCTGCGGAACGTTGGCCGCACGCCAAAGTCATTCTCACATAATTTCGGGGGAGAGTATAAGCGCCAAAAAATACACGGTCGCGACTGCCATAATTCCGCTGTAAATCTATAACCAGAAGAAACAATTGCCCCGGGTGGTTTTTGCCGCGAGCCGGAACGCGAACGCGGCCCCGGGCTTAATTAAATTTGATACGTCCAGGCGATAATGCTTTATCGCTTTAATTCACCGGGATCGTCGGGACACCGTTCGAAGGACGTCCGTACGGAGGTGTTTCCTTCCTTTTCACCGGCGATGATGCGATAATGCGAAATCATACGTTTCGCTAATTAACCGGGGGGACGTCGGACACGCGTGCGTCCCGCTGGGCAAAAATAATCTGGAGATAATTTATTTGCGTAATCCGCGTGCGGGGACGCTAATGGTAATAACCGTATCGGTTCTTGCCCACGAAACTTGGGAAAGATAATAATGCTGTTTTTTGCGCCACCGGGGGACACCGTTTTGCGTTATCCGATGCAAATGATACACCCGCGCCATCTGGCGTCGAATAAATCAACCGCGTGATTCGATCGAACGTCGATAAAGATACCGTTCATCGTTCCCGGCGTGATCGGCAAGATTTTTAATAACGTTCGTAGGAACCTTTTAAAATCCGCTTATTAATTGTTACACAACGCGGACCACCGGATTAATATCCTCCCGAGACCGTGTAATTACACCGATAGAGAAATTATACGGGGTATAATCGAGTTCATTATTAATGAATATACGGGATATTAATTTATGGAATATCGGATTCTGCAGTATTACGTATTCATAAATTTTCGTAACGTCCTATCGACGCGTGCTCTATTATCTCTATAGGAAACGCCGATGCTCGAATTTTTATTATTCCCTGCATGCTAACAAGACGTCAATGGTGCGACCTTACACCCTGATAATTGCGTTCATCCGTCATGAATAAACAGCATGACACTCGCCGGAGAAGTAAACTGTGCGTTACGTGTAATCCTCGGGCAAACGGAAAAAGAAATGTGCGGGACGCTTAGGAAAACATGTGCTCCGATAAATCCCCGTGTTACATCACTGTTACGTACAGCCGGTTTGTTCATTCAATGATTCTAACTGGTCGAATGCTTCTAGCTGTTCGTGTTCCACGAATGTATCTATAATAGTAAATTAACGTTATATAGTAATTGTGATTGTATGATGATAAATTAACATTGACATTAATAGAAATAATAAAAGCCTTCATTTCCTTCATTACTACCAAGCACTTATGTTTTTATAAATTTCTTTATGAAACTTCTGTGTTCATTCACATTTCATTAGCTTATATTTCAATATATTATTAAATCAACTTCCTTCAAGATTTCTCACTTTTTCAGTAATTGTCTCAGAAAAAATCAGGAATCATCTCAACCCATCTGATAGTTTAACAGATTGCGTACCGGTAAAGAAATCTCTTTATATAGACACTTGCAACTTCGCTAATTACAGCATTGAAAGAAATATAAAATTTGGAATTATCTATTTAAAATATATTACATAACAACATATCTGAGTTTTTTTGCACAATTCAGTTATCTGAAAATAATCACGCAACGTGTTAACGCCTCGCCTTACAGGTGGCACTTCCGGTTTCACAAAGCCACGAGGCCAGGAAATAACAGTCGTGTGACGCATTTATCGTGCTTCCAGCTTCTCTCGTCTCAGCTTGAAAAAAGGAAGACACCGTGACCGTGGTCTAAAGCGGGAAATTAATCTCAGGCGATAATTCAAAGCTACGTTATCGGGAAACCTAATGTCAATTGCAAAGTTAATCGATGCACGCGCCTTCTCTCTCGCTCCGCCGTCCGGTCGCAGAGACACGGAGCGTGGGGTTGGCAGGTCGTTGTTCCTAGTCAAGATCATGAGATCCCTATTCCCTGAGGTTTCGCAATGCCTGGCGTAATGCCTGACCTCCGCTTCCAATTCTGCCGAATACGATTCTTCAGAATCCGACGTGCTGCACTCATCACTCAATCACGCGTCGACTACGTGAACAAACGCTTTCAGACTCACCGAGTGACACGTACCATATCCAAGCCATATCGATTTCCCATTGTCCTCCGCCGGCCGTCCAACGGTGCACGCAGGTTCACTGTGTTACGCCGATCGCCGCAAAAATAACCTATTAACATAATTACCATGCTAGATTCATAGACAAACGGGCTGCTCCCGAGTAGAGATAAACGAATCACTGCGATTCGAGGTTTATCTCTCATTTTTCTTTATAATTTGCGTATTGTTCGTACATTTATTCGTCAGTCCGGCTGGCACGATTGCGAGGTTTCGCACGTGTGAGAATATTTCCTATGCGTACTGCGTAGCCGGCATTCGAATGATACAATTGGTCGCCCCATCTCTCGGTTTGGTCCTAACCTAAGTCGTACACCTTGAAACATATACGTGTGCATGTAGAATTCTTATAAACGAAGAAAAGCGTTGGCTCATTGCCGTCTGGAATTCGCGTTACGCGTTATCTCGGGATAGATTAAATTTCGAGATAGAATTGTCGATGATAAAGAAAGCAAATCGTCGTATATATGTGTATATACATATATATATTTAATTGTGTGTTATATACGTTGAACGTGGTTTCTGAACCGTGTGACTGGAATCAAATTATTTCCAAAATTACCGTTCGATGAAACTGATAGGACGCATGCGCGTGTTATGTCACCAGTGTCCAGTTCAGTGTGATCGTTAACTCTTGGATATTCGATGTTAAAAGTGTTACTCGCGCGAACAACCGTAGGAAACAGTGATCAGCAGGACAGATAATAGGTACAGTAAAAAAAGATTGTTTTATTTCTGCACGGATACGCGTATGCACGCTCACGTGACAGAGTTCACCGAGTGCAAAATAAACACGACAAATCGATTAATTGATTTTTTCAGCGGTCATTGAATATGCAACGTTCCTCGTGTCATGTGCAATACGACCGCGACGCGTTAGTTATTTTAAGATATTTCCTACCGTCTAACGGAGGCAGTCTCGATCAGATTTAAATACGAATAAATCTCCCATTAAAAATCTCTCGCCGTGGAAGTGATAGAAAATCATTTTAACAAACCTATCACGGTGTCCATCGAATCCCACAGCGAATAACACGAATACGACGCGGCTTTGAAAGGGTTAGTTTGTGTGCGCATGCGTGTATATTTCTCAGTTTGTTGTACCCTTTTTCGTCGTAACAATGAAATTCAGTGAGACGTTTCTACCGAATAAGAAAATTAGCAGATGAATTCATTAATTATTAATGTGTGATAAATTTCATTGGATTTTATTTCATTGTTTTTTCGAAAAGGATGACGAGGTTAGGATACAGTCTATAGGACGGTCTCGACGTCTGCCAATTTCTTTTTTACCGTCGATCAAGCCCGCGTGAATGGCACACACAGCTCCAAAATACTCGTGAATACGTGTGCGTGATAGCGCGCGACGAGGAAAGGAGGGAGGTAAATATAACACCCCGTGGAAGACGCCGCGCGTAGCGAGACTAATGCGACGCAGAAAGAACGAGAGTGCGCGTCAGTAGCCTTTACCCTGACCTCGGTCAGACAGACACGGTTTAACTTAACCGGGTCCCAGTAAACTCACAGTTCAATCTATCTTTGCCCAGTGCCACGACCGAATCCACGGAACGCTTGCGATTTAACTTCACCAGAGCGGAAGGAAGGGTACACCTTTCCGGTACGTAACATGTGCTTTTCTATCTTCCGAACGATCACGAATGCGACAATATAAGTGTCACTCTCGATTACAATCGATCGCTGCGAGACGTTTTTTTCACGATTCGATTCGATCGTACGTCCCTGCGTATGTAAGTTACCCCCGAATGATCATTTCGTGAAATTCTTTTGAATAATTGTTGTACTTGATATGTGCATGTTCGTTTTATTTTTGAGTAATTATTTTTAAGTGATTACTGGTTACCTTTAGTGTAGTATATTTTGTTGGATTCTTTTTGTCAAGTGTTTATATTTGTTGAATATTTGTCGAATTGATTAGGTTGGAAAAATTGGTTCGAAATTGTGAGGATTGTAGGAATTATATTTTTTTGTGATTTTTGTGGAAGTATGTAAGGGAGTGTGTTAATTAATTTTCATATTGGTTAGAGGAGTGTCGTTGCTAATTTATTCATCGAGAAAACAGGAAGGTTGGAAATAGTTGCTTTGACAGTTCAGTGATTCAGAGCGTAGTATTGACTCACTGTACTGATTCATTTCCCTTGTGTCGTTTCTTTTGTTATTATTTCTCCGATTATCGATGCACTATCGATCCATTCGATAATCACATTATATCACGAATGATTTATAATCGTCACTCGTATAATACGATCACCATATGCTATAAATCGTAATAAACAACCACTTACAAGGATCACCATAAATTTCAATTCATTCCTAAACACTATAAATCTATTCGACTGATTTTATAACAACAAAAAAAGCCAAGGACTTCGTAGCAATATAGAATATTTTATCCCGCGAAGTGTAATGGAAATTACAAAGCATGGTTTGCATAAGTTCAAAACGTAGCTATATTGTTTACATGATTGTGGCTGCTGCGAAGAAATTAAAACCGTAACTGCTTCATTTTTAACCCCTTGCACTCGAGAGGTGACTCTCAGTCACCACTTGATTTATATATTGCAAAACAATAAAGTTTTGTATATGTAAAACATAATTTTAAAATATAATATTAAAATATATTATATATATAAATTACTTTTTTATTTCTTTTAATTTGTACACATATATATGTGTGCAATAATTATATATATGCAAAGTATTGAACCAAAATAGCTTTGTTTATTCATTGATGTATGTTTCCTTATTGATTAGTTACGCAGAATGTCGCTTACATCTCGTCTAAAAATATTCAGTATTTTTAATAAAAAATTTTCAAGTGCAAAGGGTTAACAGGTCCCCGCCACGGAAATTCCGGTTATATTTTGCGTATGAATTATATTGATTCTTTCCATAAAATAACTTATATTCAAGTTTTTGGTAACTTTTATATATTTTCACATTGTTCCTTTGTCTTCTCGCTGCTTTGTAACGCATACCATCCGTAATGCCCCTTAACCCCTCGCCTTACAATAACGAGACTCGAATTCTATTTTAAATAGAATGTGACAAACATAAACATTGTTCGATTGCCTCGACTTCAAATTAAATATTCTTCCATTATCAATTACATCCTAGGCCCTAGGTTCAATAAAAAATTAATAAATAATAAAAATACCATAATATCTACAAATAAATACACTCCATATTATTATATTATATTATATATATTATTGTATTATATTATATACTTATTTAACCTTTTGCGGACGAAGATTGTTGAAAGTATACAAAACCTTTGCAGATTCTGCTAAATTAAACACTGAATGCTTAAATCATAGACAACAAGGAAACCGTGTACTGATTTCTTGCTGTTCGAACAGTTAAATCATTTGTTCACAACTGGGTATTCCAAACATGGAAGTTCGATCCCAGCAAAATGCCGACATTCGTCCGCAATGCTAAAACGTGTCTATCTTGAAAAAAACAATTTTCACGTAGAGTAATACAAAAGGAAACACAGAATGACCATAAAACTTCTCTTTCTCCAACGAATGCTCGCCAACAAAGTCGCGTCGACGAACTAAATCACAGAGCAAGGGGTCGCATATATTTTCTCACAGAAATCGGTTCGGTGACCGATACGATACCAATATGGCGCACGTGGCGTAGAACGTCTTAATAACCCGCGGCACGAGAAATCAGTCGCGTCATCGGATTTATCCGGATAAAAGAATCCCGGCGGCGAAAAGAAAAGAGCAACTCAGTGGAATCGGCGGGACGTGGAATAAACTCTCTCGGACGGCGTCGGTCGGAGGGGGATGCACGGGGGGCCGAGTATCGGTGGAAGGAAGAACCGAATCGCTTCGGCTAACGAAAAGACTCCCGGGGATTTGCCATGAATTCCGCTCGGGTGGCGTGTCTTCTTCGACGCCCGATGCTCGAGTAGCCGTGAAGCTGCCGCATATAAAGAAGCCGATATTTGCAAAAAGTATGAATGTCTCGAAGCCGGGTGTCTGAATGCAAATGACTGGGATCCCCCCCCGCACGCACCGTCGCCGCGTTCGCGTTGGGTTCGGTATTCAGGGGAACTCGAAAAACCGTGGAGAGATTTGTGGCGCCAAAGGCGGGGCGACAGCGAGAAATACAAACGGGAATTGAAAAGGGAGGAAAATACGGCTTCACCCCGCTTATGTGCCCACCCAGCCCGTCTTTCAGCGGGGATGGTAATGGTCCAAGCCGTGGGCGAACTGTACAGCTCTGGAGGGCAGCGGAGCATGGTACGAGTAACGTTCTGTTGGGAGCCTTGCCGTTTGAGTTTCGAGTAATGTCTGGTTAGAAGTTGCCGGCGGATCGCGTGTAGGTGTGGAACTGCGAAACAATTTACATTTGTTATTGTTGATGATGTTTAAGGCTTTGTGCTTGGAGGTGACTCTTAGTTTGTGGTTGATTTGATGGAGGAAAATTAGAAAATTTGATGTTATAATATTTGAGAGTTTGTAGTTCAGAGGTGAATTTTAGTAGTTGATTTGATGTAGGAAAATTATAAAATTTGATATTATAATATTTAAACCTATGTAATTGAGAGGTGATTCTTAATTACTAGTTGATTTGATGTAGGAAAATTATAATATGAAATTTTATAATTTTCAATCAAATATAATATCTCGTTTTATTATAATATCAAATTTTATAACATTTAAATCTTTGCACTTGAGAGTTACTAGTTAATTTGATGAAGTAAAATTATAAAATTTGGTATTTACACGCTGAATGCTACTGGTCACCGGTGACCCCCAACAAAATCAAATTATTATCTAAATAATAATGCGGTGATATTCAATTAGGTCAACGTGCAATAATAATAATAATAATGCAATTCGTACTATCCAATTGCATATGGATAATACAAATTTTAATGAGCTGCAAAAATAGTACTAATATAATCTAAAATTTAAAGCCATTCGAATTTTAATAAATCCACGTTTGCAGTTTCTATAAAGAAATTGTCAAGAATCACTATAAGTGCTCCGTAGTTTTAATGTTAACATCAGTAGCCACCCCAATTTATAAAAAAGATACAAACATTTCAACCCTTTACGAACAAGGATTTTTCAAAGTATTGAAAACCTTTCGCGAAAGAAAGTTAAATTTGAAAGCTTGATATCACCAAAACGACGACATTCGAAGATTATTTAAAATATACGAAAATTAAGGCAGATCCTGCCGAATTACGCATCGAATGCTTAAACAATAGACAAACAGGAAACAATTTATCTCTTGCTGTTTCAGTAATAAAATCATTTGTTCTCAACTTATTATCAGAAATACGAGACTTTGATCTCGTTAGTGTCTTCATTCGTCCTTAAAGGGTAAAAACAGAATCTCCAAATTTTCCAGAGCAGCACCCCAGTAACACAATCCACGGGCCGCCACTGTAAGCGACGCTGTTTCTTTCGCACGTCGACCAATGCTGGCCGACATGAAAACTTGCTCGAATGTTATTCATCCCTTGTAATGAAGATGATTGCCCGCGGAATTTAATGCGTACAAATTACTTCCATTAGCCGCGCGTGTTTGATCAGTGGACTGATCGTAGTGGTCGGTAGAGTGGGCTGGCAGGGTTGCGGAGCGGCGACGAGGACCGGGGTGGGCCAGTGGAGGGGGAAGGGCAGGAGAACGCGTGAATAATCTATTCCGTACGAATGTTTTTGCCATTGGACGATATTGAATTCCGGCGAACTTGATTCCGATGGGACGCGATTGCCCGTTAGCTGTTCACGACGCGGCTTCGTTAGAATGAAATTTCGCGGTCGGAGAATTGGATAACGAGAGGTTGAAGACAGATCGAACGGTAATGCCGGTTACATCGAACGAGACTTTTCAAGTCCCGGTTCCTTTTGGTACTCCATTGTACTCGACGGAAGGGCGGAGTATTGAAGGGTGCTTTACGGGAGGTATCGAGGATTCTGGGTAAACGACCCGTGGCGCCGTGCATTGTTGCTTCGAATTACCGACCGTCAATTGCGAAGTCCCGTTTCTAACTGACAATTGCTCCACTTGCTTTAAACCATTAGTACTCGACGGTTATCTTGTTGGCAATGCACTACAATGAGCGTTGCGGCTGCGGCTGGATGTAAACCAGTGCACCGGTATTTCCCTCTTTCGCTCGAGTATATTTGCTATTCACCTGTAATTTGTATATCGCGGCGATATAATGATCACTCCGTGAACGAATGTATTCGTGGGTTCTGTTTTCGTTTCTCTTGATTAAGGGAACGTGAAGGATTAAGGAGTTAATGACGGTTCTTTCTTGCAGATATCACGTTCGCCAAGATGGTGAGGCTACTGCTGTTGGTAGCCGGTCTTATGGCGTCGACGTTCGCCTACAATGGCGAACTGGTGGAGCAAGAATGCCCCGTCGACTGCCACTGTCATTACTTCCGCATCAACTGGGTGACCGATTGCTCCGAGAGCAATCTGACGAACATCCCCTACGACGAGCTCAGCCCCAATGTCTACGTCCTCGATATGAATGGTAACAACATCGCGCAGGTCGGCCCGTTCCCGAATGACATCAAGATCAGGCGTCTGCAGATGGCGCACAATCGGCTGACCGAGCTCAAGCGCGAGTCGTTCGCCGGATTGGCGTACTTGCTCGAGGTGGACTTCTCGTGGAACGCGATCACTCATGTCGATGCCGAAGCGTTCAGGTGAGAGTTCATCGGTGAGACGATCTTTGAGACCTTGCACTTGGGAGGTGACTCTTGGTCAGCAATTGATCTGACGAGGTGAAACTGATGCTTGATGTTGAACTTTGTATAGTGCGTCGATACATGAAATATTGTAATAAAATAGTTTAAATTATGTTATAAAATATATTATATATTATAATATATTATGTATTATGTTATATATTATATACTATATTATATTATATATTATATTAAATTATATATTATATTATAATATATATATTATTATTAATATAATATATATTATAATATATTTATAAAATAGTTAGTTTCAAGGAATATTGTCTTTATCTTGTGAAAGAATGTTAAATGTTTCCAGTGAAAAACTTCCAAGTGCAAAGGGTTAATTACTACTCACGCGTGTTTGTCACATGATACCATATAACCGATTCCATCCTTCAACAGCGATAGTCCAGGTCTCATCACACTAGAGCTTCAGAACAACCCCCTGGACGAGGTGAAGGGTCCTCTTCTGAATTGTCGGACTCTCCTGCACCTGGACCTGAACTCGTGCGGCATACGCAGGTTGAACACGCGATTCTTCCACAATACAACCAACCTGAACAGGCTCGACCTGTCTCATAACCCGCTGAGCAGGATAGAGCCAGGCCCGTTCGACCATCTCATCAACTTAGAGTACCTCAAGTTGAATTCCTGTAACTTAACTCACATATCGCCGGAAGCGTTCTCGAATTTGGAGAATCTTCGCGAGCTGGAGATGGCGGACAACGACCTGCGCGCTCTGAGCTGGACCAACGTGCTGGCTCCTCTGATCCGCCTGGAGCACCTGGACATCCACAAGACGGGGATCACCAATCTACCGGGCGACGCTTTCGCGAGGAATCTCTATCTGCGACAGTTGAACCTCGCTTACAACGAGCTGTGGCACCTGGACGTAGGCAACACTCTCGGCCACAACCTGCACAGCCTGCAGTCGCTGGACCTCTCCAACTGCAACCTGCAGGACCGCCTGTCCGAAGAGGCCTTTAGAAACGCCAGCAAGCTGCGCGTGTTGAACCTGAGCGGCAACCCCATGTTCGCGGCCGACCTGACCGCCGTTCTGCGGCATTTGCCAAAGCTTCACAAGCTGTCCTTGAGCAACTGCAGCTTGCGGCGTCTGCCGAACGCTTTCGACGTGTTCGAGCACCTAGAGGAGCTCGACATCTCGTACAACCCTCTCTCGGACGCGTTCGTCAGCCTCCTGAACCCCTTGGAGTCTCTGGAGTACCTAGACATGTCCTACTGCAACCTCGGCTACGTCGGCAATAACACCTTCGCCCACATGACTTCACTCAAGAAGCTAGTCCTCTCCGGGAACAAGCTGCACACTCTGGAGGAGGCTCTGTTCGCTAACCTGACCCGCTTAGAGAGCCTCGAGCTGAACAACTGCGACCTCAAGACTCCCATTGACCCGAAAGTCTTCGGAGACCGCGAGAAGACGGACATAATCGAGCTGAGGCTCAGCGGTAACCCTCTGGAGGTTCCCGAAGACGGCTCGTTGCTTCCCAGTCAGCTGTCCAATCTCGAGATCGTCGACCTCAGCAACTGCAACCTGGTGCACCTGAACCAGAACCTATTCGCGGACACCAAGCACATCACTCAGCTGAATCTGTCCGGCAATAACATTTCTGGCCCAGAGAATCTGGCTTGTTTGAAAGAGCTGCATGGTCTGGAGCACCTGGACCTCAGCGATAATAATCTCAGCAACGTCAGTCCGAAGCTGCTCAAGTGGAATCCGCGCCTGCGGTCGGTGAACCTGCTGGGCAATCCGTTCGTGTGCAACTGCTCGGTGGCGGAGATGTGGGACTGGGCGGTGCAGGTCAAGAACGACCTCCACGTGCTGGTGGGCAGCCAGCCGGCCAGTTTCGAGACCGGCGCCGCGAAGCTCCGGAAGAGCCTGACCTGCACCTACGACGAGGAGACCTATCGCAACTTCGTGGACCAGGCGAGCGGCGATCAGCGCAGGCTCAGGAAGGGAGACCTGTCGCCGACCCGCACCTGGGCGAAATACATGCGCGAGTCGAGCTGCGGTCGCAGCTCATGATATAAGAAGAAATTTCAACATCCCACTCCGTACACCACTCACGAGAAGCGAGGAGACAAGTCCGAGCTCTAACGTACCTGTGCGACGGAAACAATGGCGACGTGCGCTCGCTACTATTATTCTTGTATTTATTAGCGATAAGAACCCTCGGCACAGAACGTCCGAAGGACTTCTCTGTAAACTTTGTTAGCGTGACTGTATATTGCTATATTCTACGTATCCGGACGCTCGATTCACGCTAAGAAAGTTCGCACGGAAATCGATCGGACGCTTCCCACGAGGTGCATACTATACTTCCAGCCCCGTGCGACTTTATTTTTGTAGACGTAAGGTTAAGGTGCATCGGTAGTAGCCACGCAGACCATGTCGGGATGTTGAAATACCTTTTGTAAGCTCGTCGAGGAACGATTTGTATGTAATTTAAGGCGCGACGTCCTTGTGACGTTAGCAATCTATCTGTCGGTAGACAGATCGACCAACGAACAAATTTCATGTTTCGTCGACGCGTCATTAATGGAGGATGTTCGAATTTCATTTATCGTGAGCTTTGAAGAGCTGATGCTGTCACGATCGGTTCGCGAGCTGAACGTGTTGCTAGTCGTATGTGAAAATACCTGACGATGTCTCGCATCTCGAGCGTTAACCCTTCGCGGACAAACGATGTTATTAGTCAAAGAGATCAGAACGTAGTTTCCTTTTTCTGTTAATTAATTGATTGATTTTTCATCTGTTGGGTTTCTTTTCGTCTGTCGACGTTGACTTTATCGAACGTTCGTCGCCGAGGAATACAGATTTAAAGAATGGAACGGAGGAACGTCATTCGGAGGATGGGTTCGATGCAAACATTAACGGCGATTAAATTTGTCACGCGATCGTGCTCCCATTGGTCCATTTCACTTGGCATGGTCCTTGAACTTTAATTCGAGCGTACAATAGCGCTGGAAACGGAGGCGCGAAAATTGTAATTGACGATGAAAAGTGTGCAGCGAGGCTGCGAGGGTAAGATGAAGTTTCGCCGGTGACGCCTCGCCGGCCGGAACTTCTCGCATCCATGGCGAAGCTGCGAAGTTCGCGGAAGTTGAAGCTTCGCTGTTCGGAACGCGAACGGTACGCCGACAGGCGCGGAGTCACTGACTTACGTAGGCACCGGCGTGATTAACCCCTCGTTTTATATCGAATTAAACTCGCGATAAAGAACTCGAGTTGAATTTAAACACAAAGGTCGATCGTTTTTCTTTTTGTAGTTTAAACGTTATTTTCTTGACACTTATGGAATATGTACCTTTTATTCCTTTTTTTGTTTCGAATAGTTTATTGGATTAATTTATTTAAAGGAAATTACAATTTACACGATACGCGCAATTGGCGATTTATTTGTATGACACCATGTATACGTGCGTCGCGCGAAGCTGCGAGTGTCATCAGGTGTATCGTGAATTTTAAAAGCTCGAGTGCTCGCCTGAGACCAAGGTTTAACTTCAATGTTAGTCTAGTTCGTTTAATATCGATTCGATCGATTTGTATGGTAACCGAATGCCTAACACGTCTTTGGAGTCAATTAAAGCATCGCAAATGTTAATCAAACCTATAATTATCGTTTACTCGTTATCCTTTATTACGTAATTTATCAAGTCCTATCGTTCTAATGTATTCACGTTATTCCATTGGCTATCGCTGTATCGTGGCGGAAGTTTTGTTTCTAGAATTCCCTGCGAAACCAGAGACAGTTGAAAACTAACGAAAACAATGTTGATTCGTTGAACGATATCCTACATCTTTTTCATAGAAGCTTTCGAGACTTTCATCACAGTATATTATTCTTTTCCAATTACCAAGATGCGCCAAGAAACGCCTTCTTCTCTTCGATAGCTTAATTATATTTCGAAAGCCGGTCCCCAATTAACCAGTGCGTGTTCGCCGACGTCGCCCGTACAGGAAATACAGCTAAGGTATTCGCGAAGTGCCTGAATCGTCTGTCAATCCCGCAAATAGCACCGCGGTCGATCGACTGCGGCGACGATGCATTTATAGAACATATCGAAACAATCGTACGGAAACAATTAAGCAATCGAATTCGGCGAAGTCTTTTATTCCGAAGAGCTTCCGGGAAAGCATAGAACTCACGTTCGCTTCTGATCTCGTATTTACAGAAAGATCAGCCTCGTGAGCACGATTCTGTTTCTAAATCCGTCTGACGGTGGGAAAATCGAACGACGAGCAGAGATTTCAGCTGTCCAAGGTCGTCGTTCCCATTATGAGAGTTATTGAACGCGATCCTCCATGTCTACCGTATAACAGAATTTTTCGTTACGATCGTCGAATTGTGCCATAATCGATACTCGCATCGTTCTCAATGAATTTCTGCGCGAACCAACGTACGACCTTGAATATTCGAAATCTGTCGCGATTGATGGTCGTTCGTGATTCGACGGTTTTCTACCGAGATCGACGCGAGTAAAATCAGCCATACAATACAATGTCGCTATGTTCATGAAATGTACAAGACTGTTTAATAAAGGAGTCGTTCTTCTTGGTACACGTTTACCTTTTGAAGTTCACAATGGGTTTATGGATGATTATAGTTCACGTTGCTTCTAGAAAAATTCATTCGACATTGGAACTGTCGTATCAGTGAAAATTTCGATTTTTTGTTTATCGGTTATTGATATTTTAAAAGCATTCAATGTTTGAGATGATCTTGGAAGTTTCGTTTGAATACTACAATGAACTTCTGATGAGGAAATCTGTTACGATTTTTATATAGGTATATCGATCGTATCAAATGCTCCGCAGTTAAGTCTTGGAAATAAGAATTCTACAAATGGACAATTAAGTGCAATTGCATCGGTCAGAATCAATGTAGATTCATCAAATGATATACAATCCGACGTACGTTATTGACATGTTCCATAAACCTGGCGGTGGACAGTACTAATGCATTTGTTTATTCTTCAAAACTGACGTAACAGTTCTTTATGACCGGAACATGTGAAAACAAACAATTAAACGAGAACCGCGTCTGTGGGCACGATTTTAAAGTGAACAGTGCGCGGCGATGGGTTGAGAAGCATTATCAGCGTTCCAGTGTTTTATCCTAACGTTAGATTCATCGTTTGATATCTTTATTGATGTTATATCGAGCATGCGAACGCTTCAGTGCGACGATAAGGAAGGCGAATTGAATTTAATTAAACGTATCTTTTTCCATTTCTATCAGGCAGATTATCCGAAGAGCGATACGTCCCGTTATACAGTAACCCGAGTACATGGATACAGCTGAATCAATGGGATATTATCAGGTTCAGCGAATTACGACACCGATGGACGAAAAACGGAAGCTAGACGCGAAAACTCAAAGTTCTATGATTGCTACGCGATACCGCGTTTATGGATAAAGAAATTTCTAATGAAAAATTTATATTCCACGATAGATCAGCATATTTGCACGCTGTATAGATTATTTGCTCGATCAGATAGTGATCTTTGCCGCAGTATTAACCGCAAACGTATCTAGGTGTTTACATGTCTGGGAAGAGGAAACATGAGACTGAGATTACGGCACTTGAATATTCAATGAAACTTTAGCGCAACGGGTTTGAAAAAAAACAAAGATGTCGGCGACCGCTTTCTCCAGGTTGCTTTAGATATGTTCCAATCCGCCTAGCGTTTTTCCCGAATCTATTCTAGACCAGAATATTTTTAAAAGCTCGGTAGGGGCGAACGGCCTTTTATTCGCGTTGAGAATTCGAGGAAGATTCGGCGCTTAGCTTCGATGTAATACGAGTTTCATTCTTTGCCTCGTATGATTGGTCTTTTTGGTTCAATATTCAATTGACGAATTCAATCATTGTACAACGATCGCTTGGCGAGACCTAATCAAGATGCATATTTGATGGAAACTATCTTAATCCATTGCTTTTCCGATAATACGCTGTCGATCTTTCAACTCTCAGAATCATTGAAACTCGAGCTACCTAACCCAAACCCAAAATTTCGTTCCTCTACTGATCGATCCAGTCTTCCAGTTCCCTAGCATTCGATTAATCAAATATTCAATCATTCAACTCCCAGAATCATCGGAACTCAAGCTACCTAACGAAATTTCTTTCCTCTACTGATCGATCCACAGTTTTTCAGTTCCCTAGCATTCGATTAATCAAACATTCAATAAAAATTATCCTAATCCATTCTCTCTGCAATGATTCAATTTCCGGAATCATCGAAACTCAAGCTACCTAACTCACACTCAACCAAATTTCGTTTCTCTCATTGCTGATCCTTCAGCAGTTTTCTGGTTCCCTATTATTCCCATTCGATTAATTAAATATTCAATAAAAACTATCCTAATCTATTCCCTCTCCAATGATTCACCTCCCAGAACCACCATAATTCAAGCAACCTAACCCAGACCCAACCAAATTTCTACTGATCCTTCAGCAGTCTCCTGGTTCCCTATCATTCCCATTCGATCAATCGAATATTCAATAAAAACCATCCCAATCCATTCCCTCTGCGATAATCGACTCTCAATCATTCACCTCCCAGAATCATCGGAACTCAAGCTACCTAACCCAGACCTACCCTTTTTCTAACACTAGAACCGAGCATTTGATACGATTGAAACGTAATCTCTATAAAAACTGTAACAATAGATTATTTTCGGTTTCATCAGACATTCACCATAGTATTCAAGCTAAGCTATTTTCAAAATCCTCTCGAATATTCAATGCTTCGAATATACCAATAATTGCGAAATAGAAGAAGTGTTAAACCTTCATTCTCCCAATTCATGAAGTGTAGTCTCTATAAAAACTCTAACAATAGATTATTTTCGGTTTCATCAGACATTCACCATAGTATTCAAGTGAAACTATTTTCAAAATCCTCTCGAATATTCAACACTTCGAAGATACCAATAACTGCGAAACAGAAAAAGTGTTAAACCTTCATTCTCCCAATTAATTCCCTATCATTCCCACTCGATGAATATCAATAAATGACCCAATAAAACCCATGCGAATCAATCCCTTCCCCGATTCACCCAGAATCCCCCGAACTCAAATCCACCCAACCCAAACCCACCGAAACTTCGTCCCACCGGTCCGCAGCGTTCGTTCCCCGGCATTCCCATTCGATTAATCCGCGAATTATCGGTTGAATCGTCGGCCCTCGATGACCGCATTTACACCGTTCGACGCGGCGCGGATTGGCCGAAAGAGGAGCGCAGCTGCATCGGCGCGGCGATACAAAAGTTCATGGTGTCGTTACATAATCTCCGCTCGCACAGGCCCGACGGCGCTCGCGCGCGACGTCGCCGACGGTCCCGACGACGTTGTGTTGGTCCAGTGCCGACGAGTCCCGCTCCGCGAGTATGAGAGCGGATCCGCTCGTGCGCACGTGACCGACTCGCGATGACTCTGCACACCTACAGCGAGGCGTATCTCTGTATAGGCCCGCGCCGCGCCGCGCAGCTATCGGTACCGGTCGCTCGTGTAACGCTGGTAAGCTAGTTGGCCGTTCAATTATTTGAACGTCATGCGCGTGGACGCGCTATGTCAGTGCCGAACGCCGCGGCGGATCGGTTTGTCGGCTACCGGCATTCGGCGAGCGAGGATTGTCGAACGGTCCTGGCCATCATCATCGACGTCGGACGGTGGACGCGCAGTCTATCGGTAGAGCGACGACATGCAGAACATGCTCGAGCCACTCCTCGACATCCCGACGGTCTACTACGGGGCGCTGCTGGGCATCGGATTCTGCGTGTATTATCTTTTCGAAGTTGTCAAAGTGAGTAAACCGACCCCCCACCCTCTCCCCCGGCTGCAGTCATCGATCACGTTCCGCTCACTTTCGAGCATCGCCACCCCCGTTGAGAACGTTCATCCCCTCCCAGCGTCGATCGTTTTACGGACCACCCGTTGGACTGGGATATCATCGACGGAATCGAACGCGTTGCGTCAATCGACTTTTTGCTCGTCACCGGGGATCTATTGACTTTTTATTGTGGATCTGTGAAACGTTCGGATATTCGTTTTCCGTTTGGAGAATCGGTTCGGTTTGCTTTCGTGTATCGCTTGCAAGGGAATGATATGGTATTAGTTGTTTGATGGTTTCATTGGAATCGCATGGATCGTAATTTTGAGATCGCGCTGCGGTGCAGACGTTATCGTTTATCCGCAGACTTTTAACCTTCATTAAGCTCAATCAACGCCGCGTTTGGCTCATAGTCGCGCCTATATCGAGACTGCCTTGATTCTATTGAAGACACCATTTGAACAGATACGAGAGGAAAAAAAAGAGGAGCACGCCCGGAGAGTTTCGCACCGTCAATTGATTTCCGTGGCGATCAAAGGGTTATTGACACGTTGCGAGCCGCGTCTTCGTTTCGCGACCGTGCCGTCGGCGAATCGGCACGCGCCGGCACAGAGGAAGAGTAATTGCCGCGCTGCGACACCCATTGTCCTATGGACCTACATCGACAGTCGTTTTCGGCCGGCCTGTCGCGACTGTTTTTTTCCTCGCGATTATCAATTCGTCCTTCGCGCCGCAACCTCTGCCGTTTCTCACGCGTAATTTCATTCACGCGAGGAAACGTAACGCGTTCGCTGTCAACAGGATTTTGAGCTTATGTGTCACTCGTTTGGTCGTAATGAAAATTATGTCAGATTTCTTCTATTATAATATTGTCTAACCTACATTATTATAAATTTTCGTAGAAACTCATTTAGAAACAGTTCGTAAACGCCGGTTGCTGGTGATCATTTCAAGATTCAATGATTCTTCAAATATTTCGGCCTTTGTGAACATTCTTTTAATTAGTTTCTCGTGATCGTAGCGACATAGCACCTCATAATTTTAATACCACTGTCATGGTCAACCGTGCTGCCAAATAATTAAGAATTACTTCCAACAACCATTTCTAAGTTTCTCATAATCATACCAACATAACACCTCATTTTAACACGACTGTGACAGTAAACGATGCTACCAAATCATCAAGAATTACTTTCAACAACCATTTCTAAGTTTCTCATAATCATACCAACATAACACCTCATTTTAACACGACTGCCATAGTAAACGATGCTACCAAATAATTAAGAATTACTGTCAACAACTATTTCTAACTTTCTCATAATCGTAGCAACATAACACATCATAATTTCAATACGACTGTCATGGTCAACGTGCTGCCAAATAATTAAGAATTACTTCCAACCATTTCTAACTTTCTTACAATCATAGCAACATAACACCTCATTTTAACACGACTGTGACAGTAAACGATGCTACCAAATCATCAAAAACTACTTCCAACAATTTTTAACAACGACGAAATTTCAATCTCTGGTTGAATCACCGGCGGAGGGATTTACCTCGAAGTTTATCATTTCCGACTTATCGGTGCTGTTCGATAAACGCTCGCGATTTCGTCGCGAATACACGCGCGAAGCAAAGTTCGAGCTGTTTCCCTCGAGGTTCCTTATCGTGCACTTGCCGAACCATCGACGTTGTACCGCGCCGATACCGCTATCAGGATTTCCGTGATACGAGGCGGCCCGAAGAGTCGCACGACCCTTCGTGGTCCGTGCGAGCCACGAGGAGAGATGCACGATTTATTAATTTGACCTTAAAACTCCGTGGCACTCGCACCGGGCAAATTGCGCGCGCGTCACCGCGTGAATGCGCGCGCAACCGTATCGCGAACGCCGGAACAGGTAACCGCTGCCGATGGTCCCCCATACATTTCGAATCCTTTTAAATCTGTGACCAAAAACTCTCATTCCCGATGAACATCGTTAATCGTTCGACGCGACGAGTTCGATTCGAGACGATTCGGATTGTTATTACACGTTGATATCTCAGTTTTCCTGGGACGGTATTTGGAAACATTTCAAACCGTCTCGAAGCTGAGATTCGAATGCCCATCGCTAATAATCGCATCGCCGAGGTCCGAATGAGGCAGTCGAGAATAATAAAGCGTCTCTGAATAGACGGATTCGACGAATGAATGGGATGCATCGCGCGCTTTATTCGGATCATTTTTGCAACCGCGTAACGAGATCATAAATTATTCAAAAGAGTAACGGACGGAGAAATAAGGTCGCCGGGAAAAAGTAGGAAGTATTTCAATGAAACATTGTGTTCCGCAAATAAACTGTTTTGAATAAAGATTGACAATGTTTCAATATTCACGTGGTCGTGTGGCTCGCATAAGAACGCTGCCTTTGCTAGGGGATGTTAACCCTTAGATGGTTTCGTAATTTATCGGCAACTGCAACTAATTTTTATAGTATCCATAGCGAAAATGATAATGCCATAACATTCCTTAGATCTTTTATTTTCCTCAGAGCAAAATTTGGATGTGTGAAAATTTTATAATTGCAGGGTAGTTTCTTTGATTAATTAAAATATCTAATATTATTCCTGGTGCAATATTGGAGCCTACAGAGTTCAAAGGGTTAAATACCGGAAACTGTACCTGTTCTCGTTTCCCTGGAACCGAAAACAATCGCCTGCGGTGCATCTTTTTATAATGAACACGGAATGCTAGTGTATACATTAATATCGTTTCGTTCCGTTGTATGCAAACCACGCGCCGGTACGGATAGAACAATAGCTGACACATTTTCCGTTTCCTACGATTACGTAGCCTAATCTAATTGTCTCGCTGAATAATATTATCGATGTTCGGAAAAAGATCACAAACTGTTTCAAAGCGAAATGAATTCGCTGCACACGCTACCGGCTGTTACGTAACTGTCCCGATGAAAATGGAATTGTTCAAAATGTCCCTTAATATTCCCGAAGAATCATTGGGCTCTGAATAAACATTGAATCCGATCTTGCACGGAATCACAGTTCTCACGATTGACGACGTGATAATATTAACACGTTGTCAAATATTCAGTAACATAAGCTAGATAATAGTGAAATATATGCACACTGATAGCGAAGCATGAATAATTAACTTTGATACCATTTGCCTTTGTTATGAAGGAATAAGTATTATTATGCAAATGCTCGAATTTTCGTGGCAGTCAACGTGTTAACCCCAAACGAACCACGATGTGACTTCGAGTCGCATTCGAACTTTCTACTTAAATTCTTTGATCATCTCATATTGCATTTCCAAAAACGATAACATTTTATTCATTCCTTTTATTCTCATAAGTGACTGCGACTCGCATCGTACGATTCGTTATAGAAACACGTGCGATTAGGGTGAAACACGTTCGAAGCTCCAGGAAACATTTGTCGAAACAACAGTCAGGCAAACGTTCAGTGTCGAATGCGAAAGATAATTAGTCCCTTGGGCGTATTTCAGAAGCCGATGCTGGTATGCGCGAACGGGCCGTTCCGATCGTTCCTCGAGGACCACGTGCCGTTGGTCAGTAACAAATTTTGGCCGACCTTATGGTGCTTCGAATCAAGAGCGCAGACCATTATAGCGAGCCTGCTCAGAGCGCGGATCTTACCACCGATTGTTTATCGCAGGTTGATGAGTTTACCTTGAACTTAATTACTAGAGCGAACACGACGTTATATTCGCTTCTCAAGCATTCTTCAGCATCCAGAGGACACTGCGAAGGGTCTCTTTGAAACGAACCTCTTGCCTCGTGATATGCAATCAGAACACTATTGCCAATTAAGAACTTAGTTTCAGTTCGCAAATATTTGCCTCTAACGAGTGTACAATTAATCTCCGCTGATCGAACAGTAAACTTGTGTAAATCACAGGGCAAACGGTTGTCGCTCGAGGTAGAGCTAATTATCCTACACGCGACTGGGCTCGGTCTAATTAATTCGTTCTCGCGCAGAGAAATCCTGACCTTGTCGGACGGAGGTGAAGTGGCTCTGGACTGGGCCGAGGAAGGATCCTCCGTGACCTCGCCGATCGTGATCATTCTGCCGGGGCTGACCGGTGAGAGCCAGGCGGAGTACATCAAGTGTCTGGTCACATCTGCGAAAAAAGTCGGCATACGGTGCGTGATCTTCAATAACAGGGGCCTGGGAGGCGTAGAATTAAAGGTACGTAGGCGATCGATCGGCTCGCACGATCGGATGAGGATCACGCTCACGGTTGCGTCTCGTTTGCAGACTCCTCGGACGTATTGCGCGGCGAACAGCGACGACCTGTCCGAAGTTATTGAACACGTGAGGAAACTTTACCCCCATGTGCCTCTCGGAGCGACGGGGATCTCCATGGGAGGGTAATAACCATCGTTTCGAGCAATCCATACGAGAAGCACTTGCACGCATTTCTTTTCTTAGGAATACATAGGTTCTCAATCGTTTCTCTCTCGCGTGTCGTTCGATTAATACGATCGGTAGATTGTAGATTCTTGTGCGCTGATTGGAAGCGCAGAATTGCGTAGAATGTACATAGGACGGATATATGAAATGAATGTGTAGTAAACGGTTTATTCTATTGTTCCTAGAAAAATTGATGTTCGACCATTTAGATCTTGGAAATTGGGGATTTAAAATTAGGTTATTACGTATTCTTGTAACTGCATCAACCAAAACCAATATAAACGTTTGCCAAATAGTGTTTATAAAATTCAGTATGCGTCAAATTGACGCACTCCGTAAACCTAGTGTTAACCACAAGATTTCAAATAGAACTAAACAAACACGAATATTATTGAATTTGTTTGCTAATATTATTCCTCTGCTATCAATGATTATACCGTGGAACATATGTTGAGAGAATAAGACTAATTTTCTCTTATTTTCAATAACTTATTGTAAAGTTAGATCGATCACAGTTCAGAAAGAAATACGGCACGGGGTTAACCTTTGAACTCTGTAGGCTCCAATATTGTACCAGTTATAATATTGACTATTTTAATGAATCTTAAAGAAACTAAAATTATTAGATTTTAAATCAAATTTTGTACTAAGGAAAACAAAAGATCGAAGAAATGTAGGATTTCTAATTTTCGCTGGGGATACTATAAAAATTAATTGCAGTTGCTGATATATTGTAATTTTATTGTTCTAAATTGGAAATTTGAATTTATATAAGGATCGACAGCCTAGCGATCAAGTTTTTATAGTTTTGGAATGTTTTGTGCACCATTCGTGTAGATTGAGAACCGTTGGTTGAATGTGTCGCAGATGAGAATTATACTGTCCAATTACACGGTTTTTGCAAAAGAGTCGGTTGTGCAAGTGCTATTCGTGCGCGCTGTATGTGAAATTATTACTAAGTTACAGCGAAATCAATTGACCGCTCAAGGCTGCTCATAGGTTACTCCCACCATTCTGACCGTGGTAAACTGGCGTGGTATAACCGTTGAATCCTGAACATGAATCATACACTTGATTCACACTGCCTTGAATGTCTGCTCGAATTTTAGCCGACGAGCCGATCCAATTAAAAGTTACACTGATAATGATTCAATTATCGTCAATTGTCGTTTCTAATGGTTTCTATATATCTGGTGGATTTACAGATTAATACTGGGTAACTATCTAGCCCAGCAAGGCGTTATGGCGCGGAATAAATTGAGAGGATGTTTCCTGATTTCCGTCCCTTGGAACGTTTTCGCCGCGGCGAAAAACACGGAAGAGAATTACTTCAATCGGATGATGAATAAATACCTGGCTAGCACGCTGCGCAAAAACGTACAGCGGTTACATTACGCTACAGAAAGCGGGTTCTTCGATGTGGACATCGAGACTCTTCTTAAAGTAAGCTTCCTGAGGCATAGGAACAATCTATTAATTTGTAATCAATTTTAACAACTATATAGAATCTTAGAAACGATCGGAATACATAAAAATATTCTGATCTAATGAAAAATCTGAATGTATCCTTCTGATGCGTTTGAATTTAGACTCATGATACCTTCAGGTAAAACAGAAATGATTTTTGTTTTTTGAATAATGTCTTTCATTCGTCAGAGCCAAACCGTACGAGAATTCGACTCGCACTTCACGGTGAAACAGTTCGGCTACAGAGACGTGGAGGAGTACTACTCGAATGCAACCATACACGACAAATTGCACTTGATTGATGTGCCGCTATTATGCCTCAGCGCTGCTGATGACCCATTTCAACCAGTTCAAGGTTTAAATTAGCTTCTCAGAGATTGACATTTAATCGTTTCGCGTAACAATTCAGTGTAATTAATCTTCTGTTTTCTGTTCGCGTTGCCCGGCCTGTGCAGCGATCCCATTGAAGGAGATATCGGAAACGAAAAAGGTTGCTGTTGTGGTAACGTCGCGCGGCGGCCATATTGGCTTCTTGGAGGGCATGTGGCCGGTCAAAGAGGAACAGTACATAGGCAAATTGTTCTCGCAGTTCTTCACGGCGCTGTTCACCACCGACGTAGACCATCAATTGTTGTGACGAACTTATAGTTTCAAATTCATCCACGACAATCGGTATCGAAATGTGTTGTTTACATTTGGAAATTATATAAGAGGAAACGATCACGTGCCATGATTGAATGCATTCAGGGTACCGCACATGTGATGTTAGTAGTGATAAGAATAACGGAAGTTTCATTACTTTTATAAAAAAAAAAGAAAAAACATTTTTACCAATGGTCCACGGAGCAATAGTTACTAATGGTATAGGTATAATTTTTTACAAAATACACGACAGATATACGCACATTCATTTTCGCGTATATAGGAATATTATAGTGATATTTATTATTAACGCAATAAGTTTAACGTGAACGTTTTGTAACTAATCATTATCAGAATACATTTAACTCCGTTTCGTTAATGGAAGAGGATACACGATCGCTCACGGCAGTTGCGCGATCGTGACAGTACTGACGTATTATTAAAAACAATCGAAATTGTTAGAAACACGAAGTAGCAGTATCATTGGCAGAAGTTTGCATTCATTTGATCGTTCAATTACAGTAAGTAAAAGTTTCTTATTTAAAACATTAGTGACAGAATATAAATGTTTAATAGACCATCGTATCAGTATTAAAAACAATATTAAATGTTTAGCACTGTTTTGAATGATTGGATGAATTATATAAAACAATTGTATAATTGAAAAAGAGGCAAAAGAAAATTTTGTACGATCAAAATATCATTAAATGTGATACAGAAAATGATATCTACTATTACATTTCACAGATAATATTGTGTTTCACAATATTAAAAAAATCGTAAACGTAAATCTGTTGACTTGCCCGATTCACGATGCATCACGTTGTTTTACTTCTTTAATGTTGAAATCATATAAAACACCGAATAGCAATGCCATACTTTAATAATAAACTGTATATTTGTTATTTAGTATTTAATAAAAAAATTGATATATCAATTTCATCTATTACCAAGCGTAGTATTATTCTCAAAGAACACATGGACACTCCACAGTAAATTGCATGAGACATTTTATTTTTCAGAAACAGAAATTTTCTTCACAAAATAATTTGCGATAAAGCATGCTGGAATATTCTGAAACAATATTTCGCAGAATATTTTCGAATGTGTTACGATACTTATTCGTAGTATAAAATATAAAAATTTTAATATTCTTGATAGTGTTTTACAATTTAAATTCAATATTCAATGTCTTCACTATAAATACTAAAATGTCTGTACTTTCATCAATCTGAAACAAGAAGGATTCAATAGTGAACGTTGCTAAGAATAGTACTAATGCGTATGACTTGACAATTACTGTTCAACCACTAACCATCTTCGTAACTGGTTTCCCACTGCCATGCCCGGAGTTGGTATCTATTCTAATAAGCAAGGGATTAGTTTGTTGCGGTAAATTCCCCAGCGTATGCTGTAGGGTTGCGATAAACTTAAGACTATGCAATGGTACCACGCGATCATCGTGATCTGCAGTCCATAGTAATGTTGCTGGATATTGTCCATTCTCTGGAACCCTTACGTTATGTAAAGGGGAGTATTTTATAAGGTTCTCGAAGTCTTTAGCTTTATCTGAACTACCGTAATCAGATACCCAAGCAGAACCAATCGTAAATTTATGAAAACGTAACATATCCATTACCCTACAAATACAAAATGTAGAAATGACAGTTATGAACATTTATGAACATGCTTCATCAACTTACCCAACTTGAGCAATTACAGCACCAAATAGATTAGGTTTTTGATTTGCACACGCAGCAACTAACAATCCCCCATTACTGCCACCTAAAATGCTTAACTTTGATGGTGTTGTATAGTCATTATCAATTAAATAATTAGCAGCAGCTAGAAAATCGTCAAACACGTTTTGTTTCTTAAGGAGCCTCCCGCCGTTATGCCATTTTGTTCCATATTCGCTAAAGCATAGTTATGAAATTGTACAACAGACATGTTCATCAGTAAGTAACCATTGCCCTTAAACTTACCCGCCTCCACGAATATTTGCGACTGCTAATACTCCATTCAAGTGTTGCACAAAAACTAGCTTTGTGATACTAAATGTAGGTTGAATGCTTATATTAAAACCTCCATAACCATACAATAATGCTGGCATAGTGCCATCCAAAACTGCATCCTAAATAAAATCGTTTATTACTTCTATGTTGCTTTGTGTGCAGTTAAAAATAGTAATGCCAAACTCTTGCCTTTTTCATTACTAAGAACATTGGAATTTTTGTACCATCATTACTAGTATAAAATATTTGACTAGTCTTATACAAGCTTATATCAAAGTTTTTTACTTTAATCTCCCGTAACACCTACAAAAATAAATATATTGATTCCATCATAGAGTTATCAAATTTTTGTTAGTCTAACCTGTGGTTCTTCGTCAGTTTTAAGATCAACTTTGTATATAATACCAGGAATCAAAAAGGATGTAAATTGGTAAAATATTTCCGAATATTTTTTGTCTCCTGTAAAATTGATTACTTTGCCTAGTTCAAGCGGAAATGTTCTCAATTTTTCACCTGTTTTTAAACTATGTAGTTGCAGAATATTCTAAAAAAAAAAATTATGATTGTTAGATTTATTGCTACATATCTCTTTCTACTTATTTACTGTTACCTTAACATCTTCAATGTAACAAGCGACAAATTTATCCTGGTCTACCGCACAGACAGCATCTAATACATTATGCGAATGTTCCGATAAAAGGTCGACCCACTTATCTTCCGCATAATCCAGTAAATCTATAATTACTAGTCTATAGTTTGGTGCACCTTTGTTAGTGCGGAATATAGCCTTAGACCCCTCATTTGTTACATACTGTGCAAACAAAACAACTGATAAAAATGAAGCCAATTAAAACGAATAAAAAAAAGTATATACATTATATATCACAAACTTCATAATCGGCTTCAAATTTATGAATGACTTGAGTTAATTGCAATTTTTCTTTAAATTTCATATCTGGTTTCAATTCTGCAATATACAATAAATTAAGCCTACAATTCTTCACGGGTGTAACAATTAGCCACTTTCCACAATGGGAAACTTCTGCACCACTAAAAATATAATAAAAATACATTACAAAGAAAGAATATATTAAATAATTTTTTTTTATAAGAATCTTAATTGGAACAGTCTACAACTAATCAATTAAATAATAAGTAGTAGTATATCACTAACATCCTCCATAAAGGTTCTTCAGGAAATTCAACTACAATAGCATCTTCTGACTGTGGTGTTCCAACAAAATGATAGCATAACTTTTGGTTTTTATTGCCTTCCGTTTCGGAACCATCAGTTTTACCTTGCTGTTCTGGATAACAACTATAAAATATGCCTTTATTATCAAGAGTCCATTCTATCTCAGAAAATTTGACCTTTTCTAAAACTTCTGGATATTTTTCACCTAATCAGAAACATTATTTAAACATAAATATATCTAAATAACAAAATAGAAAACATTTTTAACTTATATCAACTATCAGAAATGAACTGTATTTGCCGTACCAGTTTTCGTATCCATAAAATGAATTGTACACCAATCAGATCCACTACTAGATAATCCATATGCAAATATACTACCGTCTTCACTAAATTTACTAATAGAAATTGTAACAGTACCATCTTCTGATAATTTATTTACATCAAAAAATATTCTTGGTTCACTGTCTAATGTATCTTGTACATATAAATCGCTAAAAGATATAAATTTATATAACATCATAATAAGAATAACAAATTAAAGATAACATGCAAGTACCTTTGGTTTTGTAAACCCGTATTTTTATAGAAATAGTATTTATCGCCATGTCTGCTAGGACATGAGTATTTTGGGAAATTGAATAACTGTGTCAACCGATTATAAATATCTTCACGTGCATTACACGATTCCAAATATGGTTTAGTAACAGCATTTTGGGCATCAACAAATGCTTTGGTTTTTTCAGAATCTGGATCTTCTAGCCATCTATAAGGATCTGGTACCTAATATGAAATATTGTGATTTAAATATATATGATTTTGCATATTTGAATAGAAAATAATATTATTCGTACATATAAATGTTTATATAATGATAATATTACTAAACAAAATTAGCTTATGAACCACATTTACAACTGTAATTATTGATATTGATTTAGATATGCATTTCTGGAAAATGACTGTGTTTTTTTCATTCTAACCTCGACTCCATGATAATTATCGACTACGGTTTCATCCCGATACGCTTCGGGGTATTGCAATTTTTCCATAATGTTTCGACGTCCTTTGCTGTTTTCTGTTAAATGATTCGGCACCTATATCCAACGAAACGACACGATTAGAATTATTATAGTGTTAGTTATAAATGTTTTCAAAAATCTTACTTTAACCGTGGAGGAAGAGGATGCGCGAATAAACTGCAAGTGGTTACAAGCACCGAATTTTAATAGATTTCTATAGGCACTATTTTCGACTTTATGCAAACAACATTTCTTTATCGTATTTGCAATTACCGACACAACCACCAAACGCATTATACACAGGGTCACACAAACGTTATCTGTACATTCTATTTTAAAATACTGTATTATAAATTGTTTCTTTTTGTTGCTAATAAGGTGCTTTAAAATCGTTACGAACGAAAATAGTTTTAAATTAAAAATTTATACATTTACGAGAAAAATAATTTTGTTTCCCGATAATTTTAGTTACCCAAATGTAATTAATAAGCAATAGAATTTCTGAAATGCATTCACCTTACGCAAACTTAAACCAGCTGATATAATGTAATTACGCACATACAATATTCATAATTAACCGAATCATTGTAATTAAAGGCGATTTGTATGGTCTCAGATAAAAGTCTATCGATAACTCGAAGAAAACGTTTCTGAGAAAATGTATACGTACTTCATTTATGAGTTTAATCGACATATGCGTGTGTCCGTGTGTATATAAATGCGTCTATGTACTTGTGTGCATCATAAAAATTAAGAAGCTAGCGTTGGAATAGTTTAAACAATAATTTACCAATAGCGTAATTACAACTTCAATAATAATGCTAGTAAGTTCTCGACACGGAAGGATGAAGAATATATTCTTATCAATTGGCCTTAATTACCCCTTCTAGTAGCAACTGATGTTAGCTGACACGTACATGTAACTTTTCATACGATTTTACCAGTCGCCAAATCATGAAAACGCAGTGCCGTATGCAATACCGATATAAAATGTATCTTAAGAAATAGTGACAAGCTTATAAAACCATTACTAAATGGCACAATTATACTGATCAAACTATTGACATTTTCGATCAATACAATATAAATAAAAAAAGTCCTTAAACAATTGTCCAAGCGTATATTTAAAAATATTTTTAATTACGTACAAAGCAATTTCTCTAGGTTTGTAAATAATCATGATCTCAAACACGTTGAAATGTATATTTCTTACTATACACAAGTAACCTGTAATTAGTCAAAATTAAGCATCCAATTTTTAATCGAATTTATCATATGTTCGAATTGCATCTACTGTATTTACAAGTAACAATACCGAAGCTGATAGTAAAACTATCAGCAGTATTTAAATACGAATTTAATAAATGCCCCCATAAATACAAGATCACGGGTAGTGAAAGTCATTTCATTGTTCCAATTGGCTGACGCCCGTCGCCTCATTCCCAAAGCCTTCCTAGATCGCGCCACAAGCAGTGGGAACAAAAATGAACCCGAAAGCGACAAGTTTCAGCCGGACGGTGTGTCTTTATGAATGTTCCCCGTGTAAATCCGTACAGAAGGGCATATATAATACCGTTTACGTGCCTGAAACGAACGCTGCGGAAGGGTTCGTCGCGAATCAAGATGCGACTCGCCGAGGAGAGTTGCATCGCGACGATATCAGGCGCGGTCAGCTGTACTTTGTGCTGCGAACTTAGATAACCTCTTTGTATTTGTATAAAGACCCCCTCTTTGCTTTCTCCGACCACACGGACTTGATATATTATCAAAACCTAATGGCTCGGTGCTCATTTCAATCCTAAAAGTGTACAAGGACTCCTGGTGTGCCTTAGCAGCAGTCATCGTCTCTGAATTACTTCACCGCGGAAAATAATCAAACGCGTATTCCTCGTGAAACTTCATTCCGATATCCGACAAGAAGAGGTCGTTGGAATCTACACGTATCCATCAATTCGTCGCGGGTAATTTGAATGTGTCTTTCCAACCTGTCAGCACACGGAGGAATGCAAAAGGACTGCCGAGACTGTTTAGGTCTCCGATACCGTATCAACTCCCTGGATCAGACCTGGAAGTGGCTACACCAAACGATCGCCCTCCACGATTACCTGATCTCCATAACCGCTAGTCAATCCGACGTTTTGAGAGAATCTTGTCAATAGGACTGCTATCTACAGACGAAACTATTAACCGAAACCAAGGCTGATTTCGCCACACGTGGAAGCAGTAGCACAAGAAAAGAACGGATCATATATATTTCATAGTCAAAAGACTGATCTCATCGAGGTAGATATCTTTTCCAGGGAGTACGGTTTTCATATCGGTACCTATTTCGTCCGTTTGACCTTCGTTCGCACGTAAGAGAGAGAGAGAGAGAGAGCATCAGGAGGAAACACCTGAGAGGGAGAGAAATTGAAGTTACACAATCACGGTAAAGATGATTCTAATCAGTAGAGTTCTGTCCGTCGTAGGACGCGGGTGTCGGTATGGAAACTTCTCGCAGGTGTCAAAGTATTCGACCGGTTTCGATGGGAAACATGGGGATCTTAACGTGTTAATAAAAAAGTCAGTATTCATATCGCAATCCACGGATGTGTTCACCAATTTAGCGTTAGAAGATTGGTTCTACCGGAACTACGATTTTAACAATCATCACCTGTTGCTCCTTTGGCGGAACGATCCCTGTGTGGTGATCGGACGACATCAGAACCCATGGATCGAGCATAATGCTCAGTTGGCGGAAAAGCGCGGTATCGCGCTGGCCCGACGGAACAGCGGCGGCGGTACTGTCTATCATGACAAGGGTAACCTGAATCTGACCTTTTTCACACCAAAGAGCCGATACAATCGGAAATACAATTTGGAGATAGTGACGCGAGCTCTGTACCGGGAATGGGGCGTGAAGGCTGACATTAATAAACGGGAGGACATCGTCGTTGACGGCGTGTACAAAGTATCCTTTAATGTAATGTATCAAAATATGCATATGTTCCTTTAGTTTCGTGCAGGGTGTTCCAAAAGCAATTTTTTTTTTTTAATTATTTGTCAAGATAGTTTTACGTCTCTTTTTTTGTGGGGTGAGAGACGCGGATTATATGAAATTTTATAAGTACTGCAACCAGTTGGAACAACCTTCTTAGTGGAGATGTATAGTTTGCGAAAACGCGATTTATGTTTCCTTAATTGTATTCGAACGCAGGTGTCTGGTACTGCAGCAAAATTAGGACAACGGAACGCATATCATCACTGCACGCTATTGGTCGATGTAAACAAATCGGCATTAAACTTAGCGCTCGAAGCAAAAGAGGTAAATATTTTTCGAATGATTATCGCGGGATTTTCCGTGCAAAGTCTACGCGCGTACAGGATGTCTCGGATGATAAGTTGCGCGTAAAACAGTTGCCATGTGACGGGCGATATGAAACAGTATAAGGAAAAAGGAGTAAAAAAAAGTATATGGTCTTATCTTACACAGCCTGTCTTGAACAGTATATTGAAAAAAGTTTGATTATTATCATAGCTTATAAATGTTATTACTCTTTGTTTCAATGGTATATCGTTACATTGAAATGTATTGAATAAGTAATTTCAAGTTTGCTCATAATATTACAGGATTACATAGACACTAATGCCACCGCATCTGTACGGTCTCCAATAAAAAATTTAATAGATGTGAACTCACACATAAGCATGGATAAGCTTATTAATGCGATTGGCTGGGAATATCTTCGTACGAAGGCACTGGTTTTAGAAGATGGTGGACAAAATCATATTCAACAACAGAAAGGATTTCAGTACATCAATCCAACTGAGGATTGGTTTCCAGGTATGTGATATTAAAAGTTACAATTATTATGTTGTATATTACGTTTATATATTGTCATGGAATCTTGCATGAAAAATATAAATTTGTTGTATTTAGAAAACAGTATTCGCTCAGTCCAAAACTTAATATAAGTGGCAAGAATTATTAGAACTATTAAATTAATGGAAATCTAAAAATGACAATTAAAAATAATTTTGTTACAAGGACTCAACAAATTAGTAAACCAGTTCCGTTCTTGGGAATGGAATTACGGAAAATCGCCAAGATTCTCTGTAACTCGTGTACTGGACCTTGTTGCTCAAGATGGAAGAAGTCGCCAGTTTAATCTAACATTAGAAATAGAAAGTGGTATCATCGACGAAATTAAAATGAGACTTCCGGCTGGTTTGGTATCAAATGACTTCAACCAAGACGCGAGTGTGATAACTAATCTACGTGGTACAAGATACAACCACGAAGTAACGGAAAATATTATAACCGCCATTGGGTGTCGGACGGTTACGTTAAGTACGAGTCAAAAAGTAGATAAAAGTAATATGATTGCTACGCAATGACCCGACAGCAATCATAATGATTGTGCCTAAATTGTTGTATACTAAACAGAGTTACCATATAACAAGCTGTGAGATTAGTACAGATTTGTATAATAATACAATTTTATTAAAAGGCTTAATACCGCCGATTGTTATAATGCATTTAATATATTGTAATATAAATTGTAATAAGTATATTCCACAAAATATATCCCGGTGTTATATTGTTACGTTACTCTTATACGATGCTTATAAATCATCTGTATTAATAAATATTCTTGTTAATTAACTTACTGAAATTCAATTACTCTGCATTGATCAGTCTTGTGAGCGTTAACTAACATTAATAATCCTAAGCATTCATACAAGACAACGATAATCGTGAGCGTTTAGACCTGCATGCATGATCATTATGAAAATATTAATCGTCATTTCAGTACAAATTTAAAATACGTGCAAGTCACCGGTGCATTGCGATTTTCAATTTTTTATTACTAACTTCTTTTTTTATTCTCTTCTTAAATGTATACACATTCAGAAAATCCTATTATGTGAGTGATTTACACACTGTACTAAACGGGATTTAAATTTGATGTTCTCGACAGGCAACGATAGGTGCTAGGTCGCAACATAACGTCCCTATAAGATGGCGGAGGAGTGCCAGGGCAAGATTCTGTTAGGCTTGCGTTACTATCTACACTATTTAATAAATATGGACTGAATAGCAAAGAGTGTCTCTGGGTGTCATTCAGAAAATTGTCTCGTCTCCAACATTGAGTATACTTTCCTGACAACCATATGTACGAAGAAACCATTCCAGTTGCTATACCAAGAATAAAACCGATAACTAGAAACCAATATAAACTAATAATATTTGTTTCCTTTGCCACTGTCTTATATATTGATTTCTCTCTATCGTCTAACGGTTTTGTGACTTCAGGCTCAGTCTTCTGGGTAACCACAACGGTCGCATTCGCAATTATCGACTGATGGTAAGTCGGTTTCTTTATTGCTGGAGCAATAACTATCTTCTCAAATTTCTTTGGATACTTCTTACCACAAATTACAGAGAATTCTATGTTTTTGTGCACAAGATACGTGTGTAGATCCTGTACAACTCTGTTGCACAACCATGGATTTCTGCAAAGAAATATTAGAATCCAATTATACTTGTACATCAATGGTCCCTTACGTATCTACATATGATAGAATATTTAGCATGAAAAGAAAAAAATGTATATTCATTTTCTTAAATTATTCTATTAGTACACGTTATGCCACGTGACTTGTATATCCTACCCTTCTACTGATATCTTCTTCAGAAAGTGCAGTGTCTGTAGAACAGCGCTGCTCATCTGAATCATCAAATTATTTGAAAGATCAAGCCGGCGGAGGCGCGTGAGTCCATTGAACGTGTCCGGAGGTAAATGACTAATCTGACACGAGTCCAAGCTTATCTCCTACATAAAAATTACTTGAGATCGTGGAAAATCGATATCTCGCATTTCTCAATGTACAACATCGATAAACAATAAATACGAAATAATAATTCTGCGATTACCGTGATCGAAGATGATCGTAATTTCGGCACATGAGAATTGAAATGATTTCTGGATAGTTTCAAAATCTGCAAATGTTTGTTATTCACGAAAATGTCATCGGGAATGGAATAAAGATGGTTCTTCGACAAATCTAGAACAGTCAAGTCAGCGAGGCCGTGGAATGCGCCTAAATCAATGTCACTGATTGTATTCCCGGAAAGATTAAGGTATCTCAGATTCGTCAGTCCTATATTCTGGACGAAAACAAACATTTCATTATTAAGAATAAAACAATATTCAAAATCTGTCGGAGAACATTATAATCTCGAAGAAACGTTCACGTTCAATTGAAACATACTAACCGCCAACTCGAAATTATTTAAAGAAGACACGACGTTATCTGACAAGTCCAAGGCCTGCACGTTGCTTGGAGCACCTGTGTCTACGTTGTAAAGATGGCGGCCCGTGCAAGAAGCACGCGGCAACTCGTACCAAGTATCACACTCACACAACGGCGAACAATCTCGCGTGAATTCAGCCGAAACACTGATTCCAATGATATTCAATAAGAGTGCGATGACCAGACACGCAGCAGCGGTGTCGGTCATGGCATCGAACTGTCAGAGATGAATCTCGCGTGAATAGGTTATACCGGTCGTACAGTCGACCAACGAATTGTGCGTAGCAAAATTACTTCTGATAGGCTCGTTGCGTTCTCAGGATGATCGTGATTGCCCCACCTACGTAATCTTATCTTACACACGGCTGTGCGCGTGTACATCGTTGCAAACGCGTTAACGATCGCGATGCATCATTCGATGAAGTCAGTGTGTATCCGATGCTTTCCTTTCTCGTTCATTTTTTTTTCCCCGGCGATAAACGACGTCAACCGTGCGAGATAATCCGGAAGCAGCAATGACAAGAACAATGTTGCCCCCGACGAAGTATTCGTCATCGTGTTTGCGCGAGTGCCGCCGGGCGAGATTTTGGGCACTTCGGGTATTTCGGGACAAACATAAGGCCTCTTTGAAGAAATACATAAAGGAAAGCACAGTTAGAGAATGAACATTATTTGTCGGGCCTCTCGTGCCAATTCCTTTAAACTGACTGACACGCTTTGTGAACAGGAACAATGGAGGGTATCATAAACAGGAGGGTAGATTCTTTGAAAAACAGCCACACCGCAAACCAAAACTGATGACCACGATAAATTCCGTTCGTAAGAACTGATCTCGGCTGCGCGCAACGCCACTGAATTATAATTTACGAATTGACCCTCTTTGAAACGGGAAATCTCACGTTCATACATTTCTATTTCCCCTTTTAAAACTAACAAAAACCAACAATAAAAACCTGTATTACATTTAGAAAATCAATGTTGAAATGAAAATTTTAACACGTTGAATACCGTATGATTTCCTACAGCAAAATACACGAAAAAAATAAAATATTAAATCATTTAATTGCATTATTATTGCACGTTCATCTAGCTGAATGTAGCATTATTTAAAATAAATGTTCTCAAATAATCATCGTTTAATCGAGTGAACCAATTCGATTTGGTTGGTACCTATGACCCCCATGGCATTCATGTATTAATTATAAATTGAAAATATAATCTATCGTTAGTGCATACAGAGACATCAAATAGCAAAGGTACCTTACGTAATTGAACAAAAACAAGGAACGAAAGTTGGTTACAGGTATAATTTAACATTCTCCGCGTGGAGAATGTATCGAAGAATACTCGAGGCGTGTGTAGCGTTAAACAGCCACATTAACGCAACGCAGATGACTAAGATCCCCATTACATTCACGGCGAGAAATAACGTTACAATGCACACACTCACACACACGCACACGCACACGCACACACACGTCAAGCATTCCTTTACGCGACAAGGAGGAACGGTTTAACCGGCGACAATTAAATGTTACTCACTAGCCCTTGGCACCTCTTCGCGGCCGAAGCGAGGGGGTAGCGTTCAAGCGCTGAGCTAACAGCGCAGCGTGTTTATTGCGCAACGTCCACGGAAATAAATCTAGGATAGGCTGCTGAGAACGCGTGGACCGTTGCCTTCTATTCGGCCTTACCATTCGTTCCCACCAGCCCCCTTCGCATCTTCCGGCCATTTTCATTGCTCGTCCTCCATGCCGCCATGACAAGCATACGGTATAGCACTGCGACTGCCTCGCCTTCGTTGACAACGCCGCCGCCACCCGCCGCATCGGATCGATTTATCGGTAGAACCAGCGATGCCCGAGCCCGGCGCAGCCGAGCCGGCTTTTCAACCTCTCTAAACTCATGGCATCTTCGGCAGCGCAGTCACCCACAAATGGACAAAACGATCACGGCCGTGCGTCGGTTTACGAGAGCACGATTACTACGCATCAGCCAAGAAAGTGTATCTCCATCGTCGAAGACACTCCACTCGGCCGTGTTTCGTCACTGGCGCCCTCAGCTGACATCGAGCATCAACTCGACATTCGACGACAATCGAACGGTTCGATTGATTCGGGCGTCCCATCGAGAAATACATACAATCGTCGCCCGAGAAACATGAAAAATACCGATTTACCTTGACGGAACGATGAATTTCCCAAATTCCACCGGATCAGGGTCGACGTGTCTCACGCGGGACGGACTCGTTTCCCGAATAAACGAAATGCGCACATTCTTCACGGCGAAATGACAAGCCTTGGAAATTACCTCGGCCGCGAGGTGCGACGCGACACATTCCCCGAAGCTCGAGCGACGCGCGAAGATATTTCACTCGGCGTGTGTCGTCACCGACCGTCTCAGCTGACGTAAAATGGCCGCCGTCTACTGTCAGCTGAACCATAAACACGGGTTTCCTCTGTCGAAACGTGTCCTGTTATCGCGGAACACGCGCCCCCGCTTTCGGTACAGGCGTCGGTGTCCTTAGAGTCGAGGTACCCGCCGGGCGAATGGTATTTCATTAAAAACGAATGCACAGTATGGTGTTGGTGCGGCGGTGGGAATGTCTCGGCGAGCGAAGCCTCTTTGCCGGGTAGGTTCGTACATGATTGGCAGACAGATCGTTCACGGGTTTCGTCACATGCGTCCTCAGCTGACGATAAAATCACCGTCCCCGAGCATTTAACGATACCAGCTGATTGCGAAAGTCCCTTTTTCCTTCCCCACGAGGAACCGTATAAAATGCAACACGCCGGGATTGGTTACCGACGGTCGATCAGTGGAACGACGCGAATGCCGTCGGGATTCCGCAGCAGGGTTTTCGGTGCGAAAATGTCGGATGTATTTTGCTGGACGGACGGGAAAAGAGAGGGACGCCAGCCAGAAGGGACGCCGAGTACAGTCGTACGAAAAGTGGAGAGGGCCGAGAAAGTGGAGGGTCTCGGCGAGCCGAGCGCTTTGGCTAGGGTTCTAGCCTGCGATTTTTTCTCGTTCCTCTCGTTCTCCGGGCGGACGGCCAATGAGAGTAAGTAGGTCAGCGCGACCGGCCAATCGGTGCTCGAGGCCGGGTCACGTGGGTTTGTTGTTATCTATCAGCTGTTTTTCCCGGGCGGGCGGGTGGCCGGCCGGCGCAGTGAAAGCCGTTTGGAAGTCTATCCTCAGTTCTCCCCGGTCGCTCAGCTGTGCGTCACATGTCGGGAACCGCGAGTCCGACTTCTGTCTGTATACCATCCTACCGTGTACCGCTTGCCCGTTCAGGTTACAGTAACGTGCCGGATTCTTGCTTACCGGCCAGCGTCAGTCATATATTATGCTATCTACCGCGTGCGCATCGACGTATCACAATAAATCCATCACGAAGTGCCTCGAACATGCGGACGGCGTGACAAACGCAGGCAACGGTGCACGCCGTTTTGTTGATACATTGAGTTCTGTGTTCAGGCCGCGAAGGCCGCCGCGTCCCTCCACGGTCTAGGAAAATCGATCGGTTGCATCTCGACACGATTGGCGATACGAAAACGTTAAACTGCCGATTCTCGCCCCCGTGTTATTACGTGTTAACGTCGCGGCAACGATGACCTAAAGCGATGGTGTTCTATATACATATATGTGATCGAAAATAAAGAGGTAGCTTTCAATACGGAAAGAAAAGAAAAGAAAAAAAGAAAAGAAAAATCGAAGCGACGCGTGTGTCGTACGCCCAGGTTACCGGGAGTGTGTATTTTCCGAATGTTCAGTCGATTCATGTACAATATCGACCGACGCGTCACACGTATCATCTATCGCGCGCATCGAACTGTTGAATCGGCCGTGTGTTCTCGCTCCGTCAGTGATTTTAACGATTCTATCGAACAGTGTGTTCGTTCATTAGAATTGTTGGAAGACAGTGGTAAAATAGCCCAGTGCAAATGAGATTCACAAAAGAGCATACGGACCGAGATATTCTTCTCGACAACGCGTAGCCGCGTACCGTGAGACAACCCGTGCTCACGAGATATCGAACGATTATATCGATATTGTCGGTTGATCGCCGAGAGATCGTTTATCGGCAGTCAGCCACCACGAATAATGTCGACGGGCAAGAGGCTGGCGAAACGTAGCATAATCGGCACCAGAGTGTGTGCTCCCGGCGACGACGGGAAGTACTACACCGGCGTCATTCACGCCGTAAAAACGCCGGCGTCAGCCGCCTCTGAGTCAGGCCTCAGCATTACGCCGAAGACACGCTACTCGGTGCGGTTCGACTCCGTTCCCGGTGGACGTCCGCCGAGTCCGAGCACCGAATACTCCGATCGCGATCTCATCGGGCCTGGCTTCGGTTCTGTGACCAGCGCGCGGCTCGTGCCCGGACAGAAAGTTTATCTGACGTATAACGGCCGGGAAATTCACGCGGAGGTCACCCAGCACCGCGAGCACCTCGACGAAGTTGACGTGAACATCGCGCCGAACGGCCAAGAGGTGAGTACTCGGTTTTTCCGCTTTTTCTTGCATATGGCGGCGGTAGCGCGAGTGAGTTACCGGTCCTAGGTTAGGCTAATTACATAGACGAGAATAAACTAATGAATCTTCTTAATATTAAACAGAAAACTTGTGAACAGTGAAATTAAATAAGACTTTATTTAATTAAGAGTCAAACAATGAGGTTCATTTCCATTAATGCGTAATACGACTGTTTCGCGTATCGCGTTTGGCATGATATAGGTGCCATTCTTATTTTCCCCCGTGAGCAACGCTTCCAGGGAAACGTTGCAAAAGTTCCATGAATACAGTACGTTGAGCATAACGAGGTTTGATACGTCATCCGTGCGACCGCCGGGTCTCGGTGCATCCAAGCAGGTTAGCGCGCATCAAACTCAACTCGCGCGCGCCTGCGCGCCGGCTGAGTCTGTCCTCTCTTTCGTTCCCTCTGTCCCTGTCGCTCCCACGGCACGGGACGCCGAGAGGATTGCTTTCCAGAGCGGGGAAACGCGGTCCCGCGCGATAACGCTCGGTGCCGGCCGTATCGATGACATGCTCGACGAATTGTAGCATGTTTACGCAGGCCGGCGGTATTTTTTTCGGAGTTCCCGTGTGGGCAGCGTGGCCGGTCCGTTTCCACGGTCCGCCGAAAAGAATCCGAACGACGAGGATGACAGGCGGCCGGCATAGTTGCCGGTTGCGTCGTACGCGCCGGCGCGCGCACGCCAGCGGCCGAGCGAGCGAGCGAGCGGGCGAGCGAACGAGCTGGCGGGCGTCGTTAATCAGAAAATTTAATTTTCGTGACCTCGTTCTTAAACCGACCTATAGAGTGGATGTTCCATTTACGCGGCGCGCATGAGCGACAGACGCTCTCCGCGTTCGCGTCGGAATCGGGATACAGAGAAGGATGGAAGGGGTAAAACGTTACCTTGCGACGTTGCATCTGGATACGACCGTGGGCACGCTATGCGCCACGCACGAGCCGGTCAGACCCCGATCGAATCCGTCTCGCTCGCGGTGATCCCGCGATTCATGGGAGCATTTTCACGCGAGCGGGATAGATGCTGGCTTCATGGAACGGGGTGCGGGTATATTATCGGCACAACAGGTTAACCAACGGGTTAACCCCTCGCCTTACGGTAACGTGTCGGACAGAGGATTTTAAACAGAATTGAACCCTTTGCACTCGAGGATCGCTAGAAACATTCGACACTTTCGAAACGAACTAATGAGAACATAAATTGAGAAACGAAGTTATTTTGTATAAATGTTTCACATGTTGATGCATTATACTAAACTTAATATTACAGACTTTTAAAAATTCGAATTGAATATTCTTCTATCAATTGTTATACTTCGGAGCAACGGTTGAATATGCCTATAATTTTGATCTTCTTAATGAATTATTAATGACAAAGTAGCCGTATCGATCATAGTCGAGGAATAAATCGTAGGGCAAGGGGTTAACAGAAGGAAATGCCCGCGGCTGTGTGCGTGCGCTCCGGTATTGGAGTCACACGATACACGAGCGATGCCAGCCCGTCGATTTTCGACACGCCTTACTCGGGTTACACGCCGTGGGGACGGGGAGCAATGGGGGATCGGTCTCCGGAGCTCGGTGTCGGCTGATGATCGAGGGCCGCGAACGTTTCGCGGACTCGCGGAAAAGCGTGGCGAGCGTAACGCAATAAATACCCCATAAAACGGGGGGAGCGAAGCGGCGTTGCGGTCGGTCAGGCGTGGCGGAGAAATATACGCAGCACCGATACCGCTATGTGGGCGCGGTTAGATTCGTAATGAGAGGCACTGGGCGAGCGTTATCCGTATGCCGGCCGCTCGCGTGTAGCATGCGGGAGCGCGGTCGGCTTTATGCGCGGACCGAGGCAACACCGGCTGGCGTTGTGTTGCGCTGCTCGCGTCGCCAGTGCACCGGCTACCGGTGACCCCACGTGGAACGCGTTAGCGCAATACAGTAAACCTCCGTGTAACGCGAGTTCTTGCCACGAGAGCTCCTGCGAGGCATCAATGATATTGCGATGCCGTTTTTTCTGTACAACGCGGTATAGAATTGATGTGGATATTTTATTTTCATTGTAGATGTGGTAGGAGAATTCGACGCGGCAACGGTTATCGTGAACATATTGTTCACGTGTTATACGAATATTTGTCGGGTAGAATTGATGACTTCCTACAGCGCTTCGTATAACCCATTAACCGCGTTACATGGGAGTCTACTCCGTCTATCTATCTCCGTTATACAGCCAAGGCGCGATCGCGGTTCCATTTCGTGGAAACTCGGTGGCGCGTTCACCGCGTTCAAGGAAGAACCGGATCTGGTCAAACCAAAGTGTCCGGTTCCGATGTTAAGACCAGCCGAGTTGATCTGTTACGCTTTATCGCGGTGCCGTGTCGCGTGTATCGTTGCATATGTGTCCCCGTGGCTCGAGCGCGTCCAGGATATCCCTTACGGGCGTTTCTGAGTCGTCATTCTGACGTTCGTGTCGATCGCAGTTAATTTAACTGTAATTTAATACGGTGCTCCTCCAACTTGTTGAGGAATATCCGAGAATCGCTAGAATTCTGTTTATACGTAATACGATCGTATTGCGAATAACTGCAGCGGAAAACAATGAAACACGTGACTATTGCGATAAAGTCGAATATCTGCGCCGACGCAGGGCTGCAAAGGGTTAACTCCTCCCGGAATCTCGCTGGTTTCCCTAGGGTCGGCCACGCTCGTCCGTAACCTTTAATCGCCGCGCATCACAATTAATTCGTCGATGCGGTGCTCTCTTACGCAACCCGGTATCTCGCGTCGCTACACCGCTACGCGACGCTTCTCGCGGAGTGGCCTTTTTAGTGACGTCGAAGGTCAACGGAGCATGAATCCGTAAATGCCAGACAGCGTTCGTCTTTCAGCGCAAGCTCGCGCGTGGGCTGGAATTTTCAAAGTTCCGAGCGTTAATCGACGACGGTTGACATCATGTTAGCGATTCTCGATAGAACGCGCCACCATTTTCTTTTGTCCCTGCCGAGAGACGCGCTCTGTCCTAGCAGCGGGCCCCGGCTTGCCCCCCGAACATTCATTCCGCGCAGGAAGTTGAGCACCGCTGGGCGCGCGTGCATTTCACTCGGGGACGAAAAGGTAACACAACGTTTTATCGTGCGCGTTGACGCGTTCCACGGCACGCGGGAGTGCGTTTCGCCGTTAAGCCGCGCGATCCCCATCGGGCTCTATCTACGGGTCGTGGCACGGAAATATCCGACCCGCGCGGGGCGCATTCGAAATAATGGCCGCGTTTAACGGTGTCACTGGTCACCGGCACGGGCGTGAGACGATTGAGTAAGAGATCGGGCGAACGGAGCGGGCGCGGACGCGTCGTGAGTGGATCCAAAGATAGATATCCCGGCAACGGCGGACCGAACCTAACTGGCCCGACTGTGCACACGTACGTAACACACGTGAGCACGTAATGAGACGGAAAAAGAGAGAGCGCCGGTGCCCGCGGGCCGAAGAAAGAGAGAAAGGCAATAGCATTCGCTACAACCGCGCGCGCGATGTAAACAAGCGCCGCGCACACGCGTACCCGGGCTTGTCCAGCCGGTGACGTAGCCACGCGGATGTTTCTCG